CGGAGACAAACCACTCAAATGTTTGGAAACACTCATTGTGTGTCAGATAGCTACTGATGACACATCCTAACATTGCTTTGTCTTGAGTTTCTTTGAAACTTATAGGCACACAAATTAAACCTGTGTTGTTGATTTTAGAAAACACTACTGAAGCTGCCTTGCTTCCCTTCAGAAAATCTACATTTTAACCAACTTACATGACATTTTAGGTTACGTTGACTTTGTCAGATGAAAGTTTATCGTGCATTTCATCAATTAATAAATAAATGTGAAAATCGTAATTTTCAACACAAATAATAGTCTCGCTACCTTAAATGTATATGCATGTACACGGCTATTGTAGCTTTAGTTTATTTAATTGTTTTGTAATTAAAATAGATACTCCTGCCATCATAGTGTCGTCAGTAAATTTGTTGATTATTGATATATTAATTACGCTAATAACTATTAATTATGTGACAATTAAACAGTCAACATGTTTAAATTCTTTCAGTATTGCATGGAATATTGACATTCCTTTCCCATGGAATATTGACATTTGTTTTGTTCCCACAAGTTTACCAGACACATGTTTGACGCCTCAGAGTTTCTATACACTCAAATTATTTTAAATAATACAAACAATTTGATATGATACAATTGTTATAAATATTATAAAGTATGTACGCACTCGTGACTGACATCATGTTTGAACAAAATCCACTCACAAACGACCTTGATCCGGTTCCGGAATGCCAGAAGTGTTTGATTTTAGATGATTTTTAGCACAAAAATGGCAATCATTTGTGGCCATTTTGAATAGGATCGTCAAACCAATATATCTATATCTATGAGATGATGTATAATGAATATTTAAAATTTTAACAAAATCAGTCAGAGATATGGCATTAAAACCGAATTCATTAAGGCAAAATGGCCGCCAGTCAGCCATTTTTCAGTTCAAAAATTACCGCAATTCGGCAATCTTGAATCAGATCGTGAAACCAATTGATGTGCATATGTATAATATTATGTGAGATGTATGTGTGAATTTTGAATGTCCATATATCCCCGTTCTCGGACTGCGTCTGAGCAGAGACTAATAACAATTACAACTTGAGATGTGGTTTATGTTAGATTGACGTAATTGACTATAAGGGCAATATGACCAAATCACACAAGAGGGCAATATGTCCAAGTCGCGCATAAGGGCAATATGACGAAGTCACATATGAGGGCAATATGACTAAGTCGCGCATGAGGACAATATGTCCAAGTCGCGCATGAGGGCAATATGACCAAGTTGCGCGTAAGGGCAATATGACCAAGTCACGCGTAAGGGCAATATGAATAAGTCGCGCGTAGGGGTAATATGACCAAGTCGCGCACACATATGCGGCGTACACAACGCGTAAATGGTTTGTTTGTTTACATGAAATTTGAACATGCGCTGTGCGATGACCACCGCCCTTTTAATTGTATTATTAGACCTCAAATATAATTTACAAGAAGATTGGCAAATATGTATATTTCTTGTGACAGGGAACCATGATCATGTGTTCATGTGATAATTTGTTGATATAGAGACCCACTTTTTCCAGGTGGCTGGCCAATATGTCCGCTTCTACAACATCCTGTGAATGGAAATATTGAACTTGTTTTACCTGAAGAGAATGAATATGGTGTACACGTTATATTTTCATGTGATAACACGTATATCATGGTACCTGGTCAATCGAAATTGACATGTATGAGTGGAAATGGCTGGAGCGGTGAAGCCCCGCGATGTCTAGCTGAAGACAGTAAGTATAATTGGCGGGTGGAGGGTGGGATACTTCCATTAGAGAGTTGTTTAAGTATATGCCGCCAAATAGAGCCGCTTTTAGGTGTCAATTTAATACCCTAAAATCCATAAAAATCGTACATAGCCGACGTCTACATGAAGAAAGGGTATACATTTTCCGTCAAATTGTTTTCGTATTGTGACCCCGGGAGTACAATGTAAATGACTACAACGGGACATAATAATAAATAGCTACACTGAAATAAAACAATATTGGTATATTGTCATTATGCAAATTAGCTCGAGGACGTTATTTCATAAATAGTTGCTGATGTACTGAGGCTAATTTGAGATGAATTCTGGTGCGCGTACATAATTATATCTTACAAATTTTGTAACGTACCCATACCACATGATGCTCATAAATCTACAATGTACTCTCAATATTTCTATGATTATAATCTGTTTTATTACAGCACTTCCATATGTATGTGACAAATCTTTGCTAAACAAGTCTGAACATGACATTGTTAAACTTGTTGGTGAAAATGTAGGTTACGTCAGTGTCAATACACGTGTTAAATATGAGTGCAGCGAAGGTTATTATTTTATCACTGAAGATTACTATGCAACTTGCCTGGCAGATGGTACATGGTTATTTCCACAAAACGCATGTTGGAGTGAGTTATCATCTTATTTTTAACATTTAACCGTATATGATTAGAGATAAATTATAAGCACGCATTTCAAGACAACATTCTTGTACGTATATTTTATTTTACTTCTTGTACGTGTTCCAATTGCAATGTACACAAATTATATTGCCTCCATAGTTAGGGAGAAATACTTAGTACACTTAAATCATACTAATTTATTGATGATAAGAAGTATTTAAGTATACTAAAAGAATACATCAAGTACAGCTCTTTTTGGCAAGGAATTGTATATTCCGCCATTTTATTTACTTCCAACAGCACTACGTTTTACATAACAATAGGGGTTTAGGGGACCTTATTGCATAAGTATGTATTGTGATGCATGAAATTAGTTTTAAAAAACCTCGTCATTGAATAAAAGCACATTATATGTACATTAAACTGCGTTGCAAGATGAGTAAGTTTACACTGTAAATTACCTTTCAGAGGTGTCATGTGCTAGTCCAGACGTACCAGAAACCGGGATACTGGAAGTAGACGATTTCTTTTATGGTTCTATCATCAATATTCATTGCAAAGCTGGCTACATAATATCAGAACCGTATACAGCGATATGCCAGTCCAATGGGCAGTGGGATACAGAAACACTGCCAACTTGTTCAGGTGAGAGGTTATTGTTATTTACTTTTTCGCATTATTCTCATGAATAATATACAACAAACATGTATATTTATAACAATCTATATCAACCACAGCTTTATGCTCTGCATTGTAACAACCAAAACAATATTTAAAATTGTGTAAATACTTGGCATAAAAACTGTGGTAACATACACCTACACTGTGTCGCTACTTTATTATTATTGTTCAAACAGACGACTCTGTTATCGTTCTAAATCAACCCCTGATTGGTCATTTGTTTTTATGATGTTTACTTATGAATGTTTAAACACAAGTACTTGCTTCTATGCTAAAGAATAAAGCGCCATTGCTCTAATTGTCTATCTATTTTTAATAGAGTTGTTTAAAACAACGATTACCAAATATTATCTACTTATATAAACAATAGGACGTGTTGGTATTTAGCAGAATATGTTTGATGAGTAGCAGAAAGTTTCTATTAGTGTGTGTATGATATATACAGTACAGAATGAATTAACGAATGAAACTTGAATTTCAGCTTCTAGAAA